CTCATCGCCGTTCGCAAGCAAAATGTCAGCAAACCAGTTACATTAAAAGAATTAAAGTTTTCTTCTTTGCTATATAATAAACATCTTATTAACCGAGCAGGAGGTCTGTACTCACGACCTCGGTCAAGATTCTCCCATACAGACCTACTATTTTTAGATATACATTTCGCCGATAAAAGTAAAATATAAAACTTTAAGGTAAAAAGCTGTTAAAATTGAGTCTTAACGTTTTCGATCTGTTTGATCATCATCCAGTTTTATATTTTACTATTTTCAGGTCTCCTTCAATTTAAAGGTAATTGTATACGTGGTCAAAAGAACTCAAAGTAACGTGACTGAGCTCCTTTAGGTGTCGGCCTACAGTAACGGAGTTCATAAGTGGTTGAACGGACTTACACAGTGGACTTATGCAATGGACAAACTTTTGATGAGTGAGTGCTTGGTATAAATGTCCGTTAATAGTTTGGCTATATGCTACAAGAGCATGTGGAATGTACTTACTGGATCTACTACCGGCTTTCCACTCTGTAGAGGAAATTTAAAATGAAAATATAGTAGTTAAAGAAACAATTTTCGCCAGTTACAAAGTGCCTGAGAGACCTCTAAAATGCCTTAAGCTATTTAACGGCGTAAGCTAGGAACCGTTTTTACCTATTTCTAAGAGTCACCCTCGTGAACTAATTTTAAGATTTCTCTTGTTGCCTGACCCAGCGTTTTATACTTCATAAGCTCTGGGATCACACAGAAAGACACTATTTGAGACCTTGATACTAAGTCCCCTCTCTAACATAAGATAAGATAGTTTTTCTTCGCGTGGGGAATTCGGCTAGTGGCAATGAAGAGCCCCATACAATAAACCTCAAAACAGACATTCAAGGGGTGCCCAGACTCTCAGATGCTTTACACTAAATGATCACCTGATCTTTAGAGCTTCTGTACAGTCGGGCTTTCTCAGTTTGAGGGTCGTAAGAGCTATATCGTCCATTATTCCAGCGCTGGAGAAGAAAAACAGTTGAAACAACAAGTATACAATGTGATAATCGTGAAGCTCTCGTTTTTAATTACATATTCTCATTGTTCAAAATTGTTCCTATTTAAGCCTTTTTCAATCCCCGTCCACTTTCCTCATCCGCCTTTACGCTTTCTTTTGGGCTCATGGTAAATGGCGAGTGCAGTTCTACAAATTGAACTATTATTGTATAGGTTCTCCACCTTGTTGGAGCAATGTTCAAAATTCAAAAATGTTCAAATGTACTGAGTTGTTTATAGTGATCAGCGAGCTTAGCTACACCTAGCTTGTTCACAGACATGCCACTTAAACTGAAAAAAAAACACAAAATAATCAATTTAACATAATAGGCTTAAAAATCCCAACTGGCGGAAGGCAGACCAATTGGCTATTTACAAGCATGACCGAGGAGTTGAACTAGGGTCTACCAAGAAACAACTCCAGCTAAGTGGTCCGGGCGGGCCTTGAACCCGCGACCTCTGGGATTTACCTCCGGCGCTCTAATCACTTGGCCACGCTGCCTCCCCCTCGTCGCATCTTTTGCACTTAGACACAGTAACAATGAAGTTTTTCGGATCCTGGCAATAGGACGTCTCATCCTCTATCATTAATTAGCACATGACGTAGAACGTATCCACATTACAACACTAACACAGCATGCACTGGGAATATCTTCCACAAATCTTTTTTACCTGAGTTAAAGCGCCAAGGGCTCCAAGATCTACCTAATGAAAAGAAAATACACAGTAAGGATATCATATCTAACCCTTAGGTAAAGACGAAATGTGCTTCTACAATACTTTCTTCCCATCGCCACTTTTTCTCCTCGCTTCCCCCCTCCCCCCACCCCCTGCCCCCCTCCCCTCTTAATCACTACAGTCAAAAAATAAAATACTCACCGGGGGACCCGGAGGTCCAGGCGGCCCAGGGAGACCCTGCAAGGAAAATATTTATAATTGTGAGTAATATAACTAATACCCTGTTATTCATCCATTCATTTTTTTCGCTCGTTCGTTCGTTCGTTCGTTCGTTCATTCCTGTCCTCCTTCCTTCCTCCCTTTCATCTTTCCATCCTACTTTAATTCTTTCATCCATCCACGCATCCATCCATCTATGCATGCATGCACTCGTCCGTCCGTACGTCCGTACGTCCGTAAGTCCGTACGTCCATTCTTTCGTTCCTTCATTTAATAGGACCAATCATTCATTCATACGTTCTTTCGTTCGTCTTGTAATCGATATACGAAAAAATTAAAGTTCATACCATTCCTCCTTCAGGTCCCTGTAGGCAACAACAACAAAAAACTGCGATTAGACACAAGGTTAAGGTAGAATTATCACGGAACGGTTTTCTGATGAAGGTCAGTGATCTTCATTACTCACCCTGTGTCCTGGGTCTCCCTGATATTACAAAGAAAAAAATAGAATGAAAAGATCAGAAAGTAGTAGTTTTTGTTTGACCTTTAATTTTAGTAAGTTTTCATGAGGAGGATTTAGAATCGATTGTATTTAAAAGCATAGGACACCCAAGAATCGCGAAAACAAAAATGTCATTCAGTGTTTTGTAGTTGTCACTAAGTTAGACGGATGCAATAAATCTTATGTTTTGACACAACATTTTAACAATAGTTCATTTAATTTTTTGTTGTGCTAGAAGCCACATGAAATTCCGTTGTGAATTCCGCGGACTTCAAAAGGAGATGATCCTAAGATAATCAAAGACCAACAAACTAGTCGTTCATACCTGTTCTCCCGAAAAACCAAGCGGCCCTTCAGTGCCCTGTAATCAAGAGATAATCAAACACAGGTGATAGACTCGCTATACAGATGCGAGAACCTTCGGCGTAAAGAAAAAACTGATTGGTTTTGGTTCACATTAACTTTTAACTGTCGGGAACTGGCCTGATGGTATTGTTATCGTAACGTGCTGTAGAGTGTATTTCAGTAGGTTGTTTACTTCGTCTGAGATATGTCCGGTCTTTTTGATAACTTAGGATTATGTGATTGTTGTTTCATCTGAATATGTCTCTGTAGCCAATCTGCTTTTTTTTAACTAAGGTGTGTCTTAGTTTTCTACACTCTTTTGTAGTCAGTTATAGTGACGCCTCGCTTGTGTTTTGAGCAACTCTTACTTAGCTCGAATAAAAATCTAAGTAAAAAGTGAAAATGTGGGCTTACTAGCTCGTTGTCCACATAACAAAAAAAAGGAAATACACACTCACTTCTAATCCTTGAGGACCCTCTGTTCCAGGAGATCCTTGCAATCCGTCTGAGCCCTATGAGGTAAAATTCGCACGTGCAATATACACCATTGTAACACATCTAGACAACATCTGTTTGTTTTTTTAAAAATAAAAAGTGTATGTTTAGTCAAGATTTAAATGTCTTTGATCGTTTACAAACCCTTGCTCCAGCCGGCCCTACATCTCCTCGCTTTCCAACAGCTCCTTCCGGTCCCTTTTGAAAGAAAGCAATAAGTTTACTTTATATTTAACTAAAATCTTACACTTTCTAGTGCTCGTAACTCGAACTAGCTAGTGCCGAATGTCGACTAGTGGTAAGTCTGATGAGACCGCTAATGCAAAGCAATCCCCGGGGTCATGAGGTTTCTCTCATGGCGAAATGTCTCGATGTCTTAGTGGTGCAACCTGCTTAGGTTGCCAATCAAAGTGCTCTTTGTATGTTACCTTTAGGCCTGATTCTCCAGGCGGGCCCTGCTGACCAGGTTCACCGCGGTCGCCCTTTAAAAAAAAGAAAAGATCGAAAAGATAGAGTCTTGAAACCAAATTACAGACGAGTGCACTAACCATGAGGTCACTGCGCCTCAGAAGAAATAGGCAGAGTACTCCAAAAATTGTGATAACATTTTGTCGCTATAAGTCGCTATACGAATTACACTGTTGTATTTCGTCCTTACAGGAAAGGAAAACGCGGAACAATAAAGGGTTTCATAAAAAAGAGGGGAAATATCAGTCCATAACTTCATGTGCACGATGAACAACCATGAACGAGACAGGCGAGTAAGCAACGACTGTGGGCTCAGAAATCTTCAAAGAGTACTTGTTGTACTTGCTGTATAATAGATGCCCAGTAATTTATATTCACCTTTTCTCCAACCACTCCCACTGCTCCTGCTCCTCCCGGCTCACCAGTGTCTCCCTAAATTAAAAACAAAAACGAACGATAGCACTGCTAGCTATACTGCAGGTTACATTGCATCCCCATGCGAGAATTTAAGAATTAATTAACCTTTGAGATGAGGGAGGTTTACCCGTGGAAATCTCTTGGTTTAACGGGCATACTATGAATAATAATGATCTCAATCAGGCACAGTGGCGTTTTAAGAATTCGACAGTGATTAAATTGACGAACACGAATTTGCAACCTCGTTCCCAGGGTCTCTCATCTTACCGCCCCCTGGAGCGAGCTAAGAGGGGGGCGTTAAGATGAGAGACCCTGGGAAAGAGGTTGACGAATTTGTAGCATGTAATTTGTCGCTTGAGCAAGCATAATTTAGACACCGGAGGTTTCTGATTGAAGACAGAAGGTTTGCAGACGGATGGTAGACAGTAGTTCTCGGTGGTTTCTAGACGCACTCCCAGAAAGAGAGCTCGAGAGGAAAAGAGAGAAAGAGAGAGAGAGAGAGAGAGAGAGAGAGAGAGAGAGAGGAACCCTTACCTGTCCGGAAGATCTTGAATGGTTGAAGGTATTAGGACATCTGTCAAAACCTAAATCAATCAATCAATCAGTCAGTCAGTCAATCAATCGACTCGCAGTCAATCCATCGTCACAAGTTAATTTTCGTAACTTTTAATCGTCTCTAGAGCTTACTGCATAACTTACACTCAGACCTCTTTTCAACGTTTATAGTGTATTCACAGAACAGACACGTGACGTTACCTTGTATAGTATGGAGTCACAAATGGCCACAATATCAACAACCACAGGACACTCCAGCACTGAAATGATGTGGCCCGGCATTCCTTGCCAGAAGTGGGTGATAAAGTTCTGAACCTGACAAAAAAAAAAAGCACTCCTAACTAAGTTTAAATTCAGGTGTAACGAGGAGCCTGCATAACAAGCGTTCCCGTACGGGTTTCTCGCCTGGTGATCGTGCGGAAATTGCATGGGGCGAGAGCAGAAAATTAAGGTAGGGGGTGGCGGGACGAGGGAGAGCCGTGAGCAGACTGTCTTTGGTGCAGGAACGCTTACTACACAGGCTAACATTACAATTGGCAAAAGAAATCTTAATTATGCCGTCTATTAATTAAATAAAAGCTGTGAGTCCACTGACTATTATCTGTCAAAATCAGATGGGTATAAATTTGAGAGAAAATCATATACCTACCGGCTACCCTTACTGTTTAATACTTTGATTATTTCTTAACTTGAAGGAGACCATATGAGCAACAAAAACCACAAATTGAAATAACTCTTAACAAACGTAATACCATGTTTCAACTTACTCCTTCAAAGTTGGCGCTAACAACAGTGTCCAACATTCTCTGGCAATGTGTTCGGTACATCATAATGAATGTCTCTACCTGTGAGCAAAAGTAATCAGTTATAATTAGACTACATTATCATTCATAATCAACATCTTTTTATCCTTTATTTCTAAGAAAATCGATCAATGAATCATCTTTCCATAAGATAACAATGTCAGTAAACTAATTTAGTTGCAACAACGAAGAAATACCTAATTCATGCCTTGGCTTGACACTGGGGCATGCATTTTATATTATGCAGAATTATATTATGTATCATATTAAATAAGACGGCCGACTATGGCAGTGGCCTAAATACGCTGGGCTCCGATCATCTTTTTTTTTTCTTTCTTTTTTTTTGTTGTTGTTTTTGTTGTTGTTGTTTGTTTGTTTGTTTGTTTTTTGTTTTGTTTCCTTTCTTCTTGTTTTTTTTTTCGTCATTATTCTAGCCAGGAACAAAATACTTATGGACATAATTTAGCAAGAAATTGGCGATGGGCTGTCATAACGTTCAGCGACACTGACACTTCATGCTTTAAAGAACAATAAGCTGCTGCTTGGTGATCCACGTATATCGGAGACAGTCTTGACATTCTACTTATATGGAATCACATA